GCGCAGCGGTAGCCACGGTTCCCTGGAATCGCCCTCCGTCCTCCCGGTTCCGGCCCTCCACCCGCCGACGGGTGTAGGTTTGCGGAACGAGTCCGCCACTCATCACATCATGTCGGCACGTGCCGACATCGGGGCCGTACCGGGCTTAGCCCGAGCGTTGGGGGCATCGGCGGATCGCCTTTCGCCGGTCGGCGGCCTTCTGCGTACCCTTGCGTCGTGGCATCTATCACGTGGTGAAGAAGCCCGCCGTCTTGGGGCCGCGCGCGAATCGTTGGCGTTGGATTTACGTCGGCTACAGCACGAAGTTGGGATCCTGCGTGACGCATCCGGCGAGCAGGCGAGCGCCCTCGAGCGATCCCACGCCACGGGTATCGTCGAGAGCGGAATGAGCTCCTAGTCCTCCGGGACGCCGCCCCGACCACTCCTCGTCATACCATACGCGACCCCTACGAGGACCGGGGGTTCGAACCCCCTCGAGCCCACGGCGTCGCGGCGTCGGGTGGCACGACGCCGGGGTGGTCTCTGGGCGTGGGGGTAGCGATGCCTCCGCTCGCGGAAGTGGGGCCAGAGGTGCCTCAGCACCCGGGTTACTGCCCCTCCAATACCTACGCGTCGGGCCCGGCGTCGTCACAGAACGGTCCGGCGCTATAATCGAGCTCCTCCGACAGCTCGCATCCTTCTCTTTGTAAAGCCACTAGGGCATCTTGTTTGTGCGTCCGACTCACTGCTCCGTTGTCCTTTCTTTTCGCACCCCCCCTGCCCTTTCTCCAAAACGCGACGCATCTTCCGGAACAATCGGGTTCCTTCAAAGCCTCGCCCGCACGTACTGCGAGGCCGGCTGCGGAAGTTCCGTCTATCTTCGATTTCCCATCGGCTCATCTTTTGTCCTCCCCTCAGCCGTCGTGGCTCCGGTTGCATGCGAACGCACACCCCCACGCTGGTCTTCCCTGTTCCTTACCTCCAGTTCTCTCCCTTTGACGTCTCTGCCGTCGGTTTCTGGGGTGGTAATGCGCGAGCCTTCCGCGCGCCCGTGATAAGAGTATCCTCGTAGATCGCTGGTGGTAACCCTCCCGGTCGAGCGGAGGGGAAAGCTATTGCCCCTTCCGCCGTGGAGGGTTGTCGTCAAGTCCTCAGTGGCACGAGCCGCCGGCCTTCTTCGTTCTCCGAAGGGGCCATTCCCCCGTGCTCTAATGCGTCACGTCGCGGGGATCCCTAGTCGCGTCGGCAAGCTCCTCTCCCGACTTTTCGTCTTCTCGCAACGCCCAAACCGGCGTAGCTCCCGAGTATGGGGGCGCGCGGCGGTATGGAGGAGGAACCCTTTCTCTCCAACAGTTCTCGACGAGGGTCGCCGTCTTTCCGTTGCGCCTTTCAGTTGTTGCGCCGTTACGATTTCCTTCCTTCGTAATTGCCTTCAGCATCGATGCGTCACGGAAGCGTTCGAACAGTAGTCTCACCTTCACGCCGCCATTACGTCGGAGCGGTGAGGATACCCGCGGGTCGCGAGTGAAGAGGCGTGGCTGTTCTTGGCTCGGTGTTACCTGGTCTTTCCACGAGTAACGCATACCGGGGGTGTCTGCGGGGGCCGTCCCTCGCCGGACTACCCATCCGCGAGCGTTGGTATCGCGGACTTGGTTTTCGTGCCATATCCTCGTGTTACGCAGGACCGCCGAACGGACTCGCGTTTCGAGGGCCTACGGTGTGCCCCTCCACTCACTTCCGTTCGTCGATCGTATCAGTGATATTTCCATAGGCGGGGGTCGTCCCCTCCGCCGTGCTCCTTATCCGCGGGTGTCGGTACCGCTTGCTCGTCGTCTTCTGTCTACCGTCGAATGGCTTGTAGGCGCGTCGTCGGTGGTCGCTGTGCCAAGCTAGTCGGCTCGGCGAGGGTGTCTGGCGGCCATGTACGGCGAGCGTGCGGCGCACGCGAAGGAGGTTTCAGACGGCGTTAGGGTACAGGCGAGTCGTAGTCGGGCGTTGTTTTTGCTTCCGTGTGTCGGCGGCTCGGTTTTCGTGGTGTCGAATTGCCGAGTCCGGCGAGAGCGTCGGGTTACCACCTCAGCAGGGCGATGCGCTCTAGAAAGGCGCTCGTGCGCTTTTCGTGCGCGACTTTCTGCCCGCGTCGGGAGGGGAGGTCCCTCTTGGTGGACAGCGTAGAGCTTGTTTGGGGTGTCTTCCGGTGGTCGCTGGCGGTCCGGTGCGCGCGGCGCAGCCTGTCCCTGCTACTCGACGGAACCATAAGGAATGTTCGCGGCGAGATGGACGTGTTAGTAACGTAGGCTGGGTCATGTCCACGTTCTCCGGCGCCCCTCGCAGTCGGCGGCGAGGGCTCGAACCCGCGTATAGTCGTCGACACGCAGCGAGTTCAGGGGAGCAAAGCCGCTTGAATGACTTGAGATACACACGACGAGATGGCGAGGCGCCCGCTCCGAGAGCGGACGTGTGTACCCTCGGGCGGGTACTCGCTGTAACCGCGCCCGAACCGCCGCCGTCGGCCTTTTCATGACTTTTCCGGTGGTGTACAGTACCAGCACACGCAATGCACGTGCTGGTGTAATTTCCCTTCCTTGATTTGCCGTTATTTTTTGGAGGGTGGTGGCGGTGGTCATTTCGTGATGACGCGAGCGGTTTTGTTGCGTGGCGCGCAAACTCCGGCGACGCTCGCGTGTAATTTCCCCTCACCTTTTAATTTCACTTATTAGGGGGCTGCTGTCTGCGGCGGTTTTGGAGTGTCTTGCTTCCGTGCGTGGGTATAACTATCTTGGAGCGTGTTGCGCCGGATGCCCCCAGGCACGGGACCCCGTTCTATACGTCTCGTGCGCGCAAGCGCGCGCCTTCGTCCCCTACCCCGATCATCACCTCCGTCGACCGGCCTTGACGGGGCCTATTTGCCCCTACGCCAGCTTCCTTTTGCAGGTGATCGTCTCATTCGTTGGGCGTTCCTACCCTCCACTCCGCCGGGGATGTTATTTTCTTTCTCTGCGCCGTCTTGCTATTTTCGATCATAGCGAGGACTACGATTCTTCAGGCAGTTCGTACTGCCCTGCTCCTACTTATTGCGTCTCCGGCCTCGACGAAGTCAATACGGCTTGACTTCGGTACGTTTCCTCTGTCCCTACTCGTCGGAGATCAGTTCTGACCGAAACGAAACAGCTCGATTTCACCGACCCAAGGCGGTTGAGGGCCCCCCCACTTAAGACTGAACGTCCACGTTCAGTTCCGGAGTGAGGCCCCTACCTGTACGCGCTCGAAGTCTTTTCGCGTAGCGCGAACTGCGCTAATTCTAATTATTCCTCGGGGACATGTGTGCGCGCTGTCCACACTGGTAAGTCATATAGTCAATTTTGTTACTAATATAATAGTATGCATCGCCTATGATGCTGACTTTGGAACAATGATTCAGTAATGCTGGCGATTATCATAGTGGTCGGAATGATTCCAAAATCAATCCTAAAATTTTGGGGATTCTCAATAAGAGTAGTATTTTCTCACTCTTTTTGTCATTGCAGCAGAGTAAGATATATATTTTTAAAAACGCAAATTTCTCGCATCCGACGTTCAATTGAATGTTCTGTGATGTGATGCGAAATGTCACGTAGCCAGCCTATCTTATGAAATGTCTGGTCATCGATTTCATGATGCACTGCGTTGACGCTTGGAGCGCACTGTGTCATAGAGTGTATGGCACCAGAGAACATTTGAGTGAACTGAAGCTGTCCATTATACCATTAAGACCCAATAATGATGCGAAATGGCAAAGTTGCCATCCAAACAATGTGCATTATTAATTCTTAAACGTAGCCAGGCAGTCTGAATGGACATCCAGGGCACTTAGTGCTCATGATTCAGATTGATTACTTTATTGCTTCAGTTTTTAGTGTCGTACCTTTTCAGTGAGGTCGTGGTGCTGTTTCATTCATTTGATATTGCAGAGTTCTCGGCGACTTTAGTAGCGGTGAGTGTGACTAATTTTACTGAATGACCACATTACCATAAATTGTTCTGGGGCTTGTAAACAACTCATCCAGTCCCAATACCCCACCAGTTCTCTTACAACCCATTTCAACGATCTTTGTATCCCGTGCCTCACCCGGCCTCACCAGAAACATTACGAAGAGGCCCTGCCTACCGCAGATACCTTGCTCCCAGCGGGACCCATCTCCGGTCCACACCCGTCTTGCGTACGCGTTCATCCCGCCCCTCCCCTCTGCACAACCTGATCCCCGCCACCACCCTCAACGAAGCTGCCCTCCGGGCAATTCATCCAGACCCTCCAACCACTCGGCGAATGCCTCAAACCGCGCCCCGGGACCCTCTAAATCACCACCTCGCCCCTTCCCCATTCCGATGACCCCCTTTCAACCCTCACAGTCAGCGAGGCTGCCACCCTCCCCCACGACCGTCGCGATGCCGCCCGCATCCACACGGAGTCCCACTTCTCATTATCACGCTCACATCCGCCTTCCCCTCCCTCATCGCGTCGACTGCAGTCGACAAGCTCATGCACTTCCAGACCGACGGCATCCTCCTCGCCGACATCCTCGCAACGCTCTCCCCCTCCCGCTTCTCTCTGAATTCCATCCTCTGCGTGGCCCCCCGAAACGCCCTTTTCTCCCCCTCCGACTCCCACCCCTCCTCAAATGCCGACGGCCGCCAAAGGCACGTCCAGTACAACTCTAACTCCCGCCGCGTCCTCCGTGACGGAGCGGTCCTAGGCGTCGGCGACAACTTTACCGCAAAACAGACCTGTAGTCCCGTCCATCCGAGATTTCCGCCCAGCCCAGAAGATCGCCCAGCTCGTCCTTGCCGCTTCCGTCTACCTACGGCCCAGACCCCTCCTTCCGCGCTATTTTCTGGCAGCTCCCCTCCAACAGCCTCAGCAACACCTTCCACATTGTCTCACCTCCGTCTCCCAGGCCGTGGACCTGCCCCAGCAGCACAACCTCTCCAGTGCCTCTCTCCCAGAACAAAGTGTACTTCTTCTTGATGTCCTCCACGTCTACCTATATCCTCTTTCTTTTCGACCAAACGAGTCCTGAAGAGGTGATTAGATACATGGCGTATCTCAGAGAGGTATCCAGATCTATACGCGTGAGAAGGTTTAGTCCGTTCTCCATGATCTCCACGTCTTCGCTGCGTAGCTGCAAGATCTTTCGAATGTCGTTCTCGTTGAATAGTTTGGTAGTAATAAGCAACCTATCCAACAAGTCCAGTGGAATGCCATGTGGCGACTTGTATGTGGTCCCCCTGATACGAGTGATTCCGCGGTTCGACGCCACCACAAGGACTGGGGCGAGGTCCGACTCGAGAGCTCTGTTCATGAAGGAAAACCAGTCAATATCAAGCATATGCACCTCGTCAATGAAAAGAACGCCCTGCACAATTTTTGCTTTCCCCTCTTCCCTCCCCTCCGCAACCTTGACGTCGATCTGCTCCCTCACCCCCGATTTAATCTCACCAGTGTCACCAGCGAATAATGCTAACAAAACTTACTGCCGTGAATTGATGACATCAATTTAGTGCAGAGAGACGACGTGCACAACCTCTTTCCGTCGCTGCAACTCGCCCGAGCTTTGATATATTTCCCGTTGCCATATCAACAGTAATGGCATCAAAACTTGTAACTGTCTCCTTCCGCAATGAGTCAATCATCTTGGTACCCAAGTCATACACCCTCTCCATCTCCGTGGTCTTCAACGTAAGCTTGCCACTCTTCGCCATCCGTGCAGCTGACGACTTCGGGAGCGGCATATCAATTTGAATCTCCACAACCTCGCCTTCGATATGCTCTGTTTCCTCCGTAATTCTAACGCCGATGCTCTTCCCCAGGGCCTGCGTGAGGGCCTCGGTCTTGGACATCTTGAGCGAGAAGATCTCGCTGACGGCGATCTTGGTGAAGAGCGTCTCTGAGGCGAGGGCCTGGGCCATACCCATGGCGATGGCGGTCTTCCCCGTGCCGGGCTGGCCCGCGATGGGGACGGCGCGGCCCGCGATCCTGCCCTGCTCGATGATGAGAACCACCACGCCACGGCCTTGCGCGCCTCCACCTGCCCCACCAGCCCCTGCCCATTCGGGGGCCGCATTGAGGTTCTCGTTCAGCCTCAGGCTGCGGATGTGCGAGTGCTCGCATTTGCTGGTGATCACAAAAGTCAAACTGATGCGTTCCCAAGAGCAAAATAGTACTGTCCCAGCGTTCGAGACGAAGATTCCATCCACACGAGTCATAATATCTCCCTTTCGTAACATCCGATTCGCTTCGCAAATCTCTGCAACCCACTTGACTAAAATCCCAGACTGATCCTTGGCCGTTCCAAGAGATCTCCTCAAATGATGGGTTTCCATTCTTTGCCAGCGAAATATGCAAAATGAGAACCCCGCATACTGACCATGACAGGCTATGTGGTCGACAAAATGCTGCAGTACGCAGTATGGAATGAGGTAGCCCACGGAATCAGGTTGAAAGGGGTCCACGCTTTGAAAAGCAATTCCTGAATAGCCGAACAAAACCCATCGCGTGTCAGTCAGGATGATCATGTACACTTGATGCAATCGATCCATTGCGTTTCAACAGTAACGGTTTGAAAGATTTGGGACACGCACCTACAACCTCACGGTTTCATTTATCACCGGGGCGCCACTGTTTCCTGGATTAAAAGACGGGAACATGTTATTGGCAAACATCCAAAATGGTCCCCAAAGGAAATAGAAAGGCATTAGTAAGAAAGCCAAAACAATAACTCATTGAAAAATCAAGTACTATGGAAACGGATAGACTTACCGCCGTGTCAATATGTACTGCAAGCAGGTCTCCTTGGCCATGCACATAGTTTTGCTTTTCGACACGGCTGATTTGATTCCCGGAGCCTATAACGAGAACTGAATCTTGGAGCTGCGGCAAAGAGCCGGGTTGAAGGAAGGCATGTTTTGTATTATCCATGCCGACTTGATCTTCTAAATCTTCCCAGAAGTCCTCGCTTTCAACGTACAATTGAGCAATATCGCACTCATTGCCGATGGCGACAACCCTTGCCGGGGCCTTTGTGTCACTGTATCGTTTTGTTACTACGACTGAAGTGTAATGGTCGACGGAGCGCGTGTTTGTCAGAATGCGACGTCCATGAATGACAAAGGCCGAAGACGTTGATTGTGGCTGCGGTGTCATGACGCAGGGAAACTCGTAGTTTGGTTCGCAATGAGTACAAAAAAAGGTGAGAACGCAATCCAAAATGTCAGGACTTGAATCTGGCATATGCGGCTCTAGGATTAGTTACGACGAGGACGCTTGACCAAGTGGCGGTGCCCTTCTATGGTGGGGGCGGCTAAAGAGAGGGGACAGGAGGTATGGCCAGCATAAAAGCAGCGCTCATGGCGAGCAGTCTTTGGGAGAGAGGAGGTTGCTACAAGGACTGCAAAGACCGGGTTTCGATTGCGATAGAGATGAAAGTGGGAGGCGGAATGGCAAATTGGAGGCAAAACGAGTGAATAGTGTGATAGAGCTGAGAAATACTCGCCCGACTTTCCAGTTAGTCCATCATGCAAGGATTCGATGATGCTTGAGACAAGGAAGCGATGAGGACGGAAGTGGTGCTACGACGGTGCGAGTGAGCACTTGCCATACGGTGGGTGGGAGATCGACCTTTGCCCTCACCCCCGGCGTCGTGTACAGTGCACTCCGAGTAGATGTAGTGACACGTATTACACATGCCCGCATGTCACAAATTTCCGGTTGCGCATGTTGTTGAAACGGTATCAGCTCCAAACATCACGTAGTGGTAGTCCATGCGTTCTACCTGTATCCCGACCACGGCCTTTTTCTATCAGCCCGTTGCGCTTGGACGCTCGGATTTTTGATTTTTTTGACCTGAATATTTCTCCCATTTTACTTTCCGTGTTTCTGCTTCTGTCGATAGCCAAGATTCCCAGATCTCTGATTTCGCCACTGCCACCACCACATATCCCTCTCCATCGATCCAAGTTTCCTTCTCTTCGGTACCTGTCAGGAAATACATGCAGATCTGCTTTTGTTTCTTCCATTTGGAAATCTACACGGATACTGGTTGCTTTTTCTACACTTGCTTATCAGCGGAGAATCTGACGGGGCGATTTCGGGGTTTCCGCACGGTCATAATCAATAACTGGAATGCGCGAGCTAAGGGAAGGGGACTCCATTGAAGTTCTCTGGATTCTTGACGTTACTGTGGAGAGTGGAAGGAGGAAAGGTCAGAAAAACAAAAAGGACGTTTGGTGGAGGGGGAAAGTGAGTGGAGTTGGGAGGCGAAGAGGCGAGTTCGTTGCCCTCGTGCAGTATGATGCAGGCTACGGCATGGGTGAATCTAGTGTGAGCGCACGCTTCATGAAAAACAAATTGCAGCATAAGCAAGATGACGGAACGCTACTGTGCATACAACAATGGCGGTATTACAAACGAGATTTCTCGGAGTGTGATGATGGAATCTCGAGTTCGGACGATGATTACAGCGCCCTCGAGGCCTCCTGCACGAAGCGGAACTGCTTTACCAGTCTATGTGATCATACCAGAACTGCATCTCGTGTAGCATCTCTGGAACTGACAGTGGATGAGATTCAAAGGCTTCTGAGTGCTCAAAGCGGCATTTATTCCAGATTACTGCGGTATAAGACCGAAAGTGATGTCATTTCTGACCGGGCTTTTAGATTCCTAAGGCAAAGAATGGCAAATGCATGCCAGAGAGCTATTCAACTTCCAAGAATTCGAACTGCAGTCACGGATGTCGTCGCGCAGGAAGGAAGACATATTGGTATGTGCTTCACAAGAGCTTTACCGGCAGATACGGACTGCACTCTTGCTGAAATGGAACAAATATGCCGCGTGGTCAGAATGCGGACTCCCACGGCGACATTTTACCCAACCTACGAGGACACCCAGTCTCCCCGCTCCGACATAGAAACAATAACGATATTGTTTGATTCTCTCGGCTGTCTTTGTAAATGCATCGGTTTCACAAGTGTCTCTGATCTACAGTACTTCATGGTGAAGGGAAGAAAAATGAGGCGCATGGAAGTGTCTGACCAGAGCGCCTTTCGGCTGCTAGGGGGGACTTTGGCACACAATGATTCAGAAAATTCCATGTTCATTTTTCGAGTTGCGGGAAGTCAAGTTTGCACAGCCACAGAAAAATGTGCGAGCTACTTTTCCGGGAGAACATGCGTTTCGATCGACGAAACAGAACGTACGCTAACAGACTAGAAAAAAAAGTATGATGCTTTCTGACGCCTTGAAGATCTCCAAGGTTGCCTATCACGGGAACAGGATACCAGAAAATCTGGTAGACCGTGCATTTCATTTGCTGTGGCATCGGACATCCGCGGGAAAAACAAAACAGCTTTCTAAGACGTTGACAGATCCTGATGAGGCACTGGCCTGTTTAGAGATGAGCTGGCCTTCATTATTGGTACGGGGTAAGCATATCATAGAGGAATTTCAAAGAACAGTAACCCAGAACATGGTGAAGAGAACCATAGAATGAAAAGGATTGAAGTTATGCCAATGCAAAAACGTCAATGGCCAGCCAGGCACGTCGCAAACGCTCACCTCATCTCTTTGTGTCGAATCTGACTGCCCTCCGCCATCCTGCTCTCATCAATCCAAACACACATCTTTTCCTCACCCACAAATGTCTACCCTCAGGCCCCGCGCCACCCCTTCACATCCCAACAACACTCCCAACCGCCCCTCCGTAAGAACGAAAGGCGCCTTTGATGGCAACCAAAAACATGAATGGCATGGTCACATTACTTTACTTACTTATCAACGTACACAAATGGCTAACTCTCTCGATAGCGGGCTGGCCGTTTCCCACAATTCTATCGGCTGTGAGATATGCATAATTTACCCCATTCGTGGAGGGTATCCTTGCCGCTTTGTAAGATAATAGAACCTTTCGCCTGAAAGAAGTCCAGCTGCGTGCGTTATCACGACGACATTTTCACTGATGTGACAGTGGGTCTCTGGTAAAGACATAGAACACGCATGTATCAGCCCAACCCTTCTCACATTTCCAGTCAGTCTTAGTAAGGTTAAGGGTGTACCAGGGGGAACGTGTCAGGTTCTATCCTCATGTAATGTGCATTTTCGCACAAAAACGAATGGAGAACTCTCGATACAATATTCTCCAGCACCAGACTGGTGGTCCTTCCAAGATACAAATGCCTCGACAGCAAAAACAACAAGTATGTAATTGTCCGGACTGCCCTCCATTTCAAGAAGACTCGGCTGCTCCTCGAGTAGGTCTCCTGTCATGTCATGACGCACAAGCAATTGAATGGCGTTTCCTACACGAATACAATCGTGAGGATATGAATGCCCGGATGTGCTCGACCTAAATATGTTTTGTTTAAACCGGCGCGCCTTCTTGAAGAATGTTACTTTGCGCTCGCCATCGAATTGGAGAATAACTGACTGATTGAGCAACTTCATCATACCTGTATGCGACGTCGATGTCTTTTCAGTACCGTTCAGAACCCACTTAGAATGTGACCCATCACCACGCGGACCGGGCGATGTTTTTCCTACCAGCTTACGCAACAACGGCTTGATTAGTAAGTCCTCTGTCAGCTGGCTTTCGAATGAGGTAGTGTCTAGATGTTCCGATGGAGTACTTTTCTGACCGGTCAAGAATGTACCGAAGTCGTTTTTATGTTCCTGTGACAAGGGGTTCTCCACTATCTTTTCTGTTAGTGCCGCAAGACGGTCTTGCCAGTCGTCAGAAAGTGCATGCTGTACTGCTTGTAAATGGGGATTTCTTCTGTTAGAACGGGAAATGCCTCGCTTTAATGGCTGATGGGCAAACTCAAAGACGATTTCACCAAAATGGCGCACATGACCCATCGCCGCGACTGAGTGAGTATACAACTCGATTAGCCTGTGCAAGTTTGGTTTGTCTATGTTCTTCTTTGCTAGTTCAGACTGACCACAAAGCTTATCGCGCAAGGAAACGTACTGACGAGACATGTCCTGTAGCTCAACGGTACTCGCCCGACCACGATCCGAGTTGAACAGCCTCACCGCCTCTTTCCGGTCGATAAGAAGGCTTAGATACCAATACGTTTTTGTTACTAAGGCTGAATAAAGTTGTAGGCATTTTACAGGATGTTGAAGCGCACTTGATTGTTCATCATTCCGCCCTGCTCCACAATCCATGTTTTCACCGCAAAAGTCCTGAAAAACTTTGTCAGCAAGGACAAGTGTGCAGAACACGCCGCTGATCGACGTGGAAAAGAGCTTCTTACCCTTGAAATCAAACAATTTGTTTTGAATCACAAGATTGTTTGCTCGGAGCGCCTCGGAAACCCGTGATTCAACGTGTCGAACAGCTTCTTCATCATGAAGTAGCATGAAGCAAGTTGTTACAATATTGATAGCGTTACCAGACAGCAAATGGTCAGGTGCCACCAAAACGGAACGGTAAGGGTCGAACATGGCATTAAAGATTGGATGGCCGCAACTTGCGATCGGTATTTTACCGCTGGACTGTGCACGCGTCAGTTTCTGATAGAGCAACAGCAAAGGACTACCAGAA